TGTTGCTTTTCTGTTCTTATTCTGTGTGAATAAATTAATCTATTATCAACTGGCAGGTGTTGTGATCAGTCTGAGGGTTGTGCTCGCCCAGAACAAAGGTATAAAGGGCTGGGTTCCTAAAATCTAGTGTCAACAGTAAACACGGACTCCAACTCAGACAACAACACACGGACATGTGAAACTTGTAACAAACTGTGTCACTCCTGAATTGGGCTTCTCAGCCACAAACTGATTCACCAAGCACCTGACTAGATCTCTTACATGTACACCATGATCCAGAAGATTGATGGTTATCTATTAATTCATGCAATGACAGAATTTTCTGTGAACAAAAAAAAAGTTTCTGTTTTTTTTTACAGAAGTTGAAACAAAATATATTAAACAAATCCTGCAGTTAAAATGCTCTCCAAAGTGTGTGTTTCTTGAATCAATTTGATAATTAAAGACAATTTGATTATTAAAAATTATTTCCTGATTTATTATTAGTTTAGCCATAAAGTTTTGGTTATTTGAAACCCTGCATTACAGACTCTCTTTAATGAGTAAATGCTGGAACGCCTGACAAATATCTGCTAATGGTGGAACATTCATTCCAAAACACATGCACTAAAAGGCTGAAAAGTGATATTCCAATTAGCTAAGTAGGATGAACGAACGACATCTGGCTGACTAAATCTAGATCAGCTAGTGAATACATTCCAGGTTGTCTAACCAAAAATCTCAGTCATAATTCTTTCGTGATTTCTGCACATAAAGCAGATACATTTTTATTTTATAAGTAAAGCATGTACTACCTATAATTTTCGTGCTTTTGAAATGGACAAGCAGATTTATAATAGAGTTAACAAAAAAACCACTTATTTAGGTTTGACCAGTATTGTGGTCAAAACTGTTCTTCATCAAACATTCCACACAACCTTCTAAAATATTCTCAAACATTAAGTACGCTTCAGAAAGTTTGGGAAACATTCCATGTTGTGGGGATGTTGATTGTAGCCGTGTTGGTTTAAGGACATAGGCAGACAAGGTTCTTGGGGTAAATGTGATCTCTTTTATTAGACCAATTTGCAAACTCTCCCTCTCCCGGAAGAAGGGTGTTTGTACCCGAAAGCTTGCAAAGAATTTTTTTTTCCAGCTATTTAGTTGGTCTAATAAAAGATAATCACATTTAACCAAAGAACCTTGTCTGCCTTTAACATTGCAAAAACTCCTCAAACTACAAACCAAGTCTCACTCCTCCCCACCCCCCTATGATAATAGTGTTTCAGCCCTGTAAAAGTCCCTTCTTTAAATTGCTTCCTGATAATATAAGGATGACTATAAAACAGAAACCTGGTGGTCTGCAGTGATAAACAGATTTGAGCACTTCAGCAGAAAGCATTTTTATGAATACTGGTATTATCCAGAATAAATTAAGAAATAGGTGAGATGTGAAGAAAGTAATCAAACTGGTAATGTGCCAGAAAATGCTTTGCACCACAGTATACAAGCAATGGAAAAATGAGCAGGTTACCAAGGAAGCATACCAAGAAATAGCAGGAACTTACAGGGAAAAAAATCAGGATGGCAAAAGTAAAAAATGAACTTCACCTGGCAAGGCAAGTTGAGGACAACAAGAAGAGGTTCTAGAAATATGCTGGCCAGAGAAGAAAGACCAAGGAAGCTGTGGGTCTACTATTAAATAAATAGCCAGGGTGAACAAGGATGATGCAAAGGCAGAGCTGCTCAAGAACTACTTTGCCTCAGTCTTCAGTAAAAATAAATAAAAAAATAAAATCAGGCTGCAACCAGACAGCTAACAAGGATTATTTGGCTAAGGAAGGGGACAAGCTAAGGGATGAGATAAAGGAAAGTCGGAGAGCTTTTCATGGGTCTGAATGAAATCAAGTCAGCAGAGCCTGATGAACTTCCTCCCAGACTACTGAAGGAACCTGCCTAGGAGATCTCAGAGCCCTTGACAATAGCATATACAAAGTCATAAGAGACTAGCAAAATATCAGAGGACTGGAAAAGAGCAAATACTTTTGCCTTTTTTAAAGAGAGGCACCAAGGAAGACTTTTTGAGATTAGTTAGCCTCACTTCAAATCCCAGAAAGTTCCTGGAGCATATCTTAAGGAAGTTTATTTGCAAGCATCTGGAGAAGCCTGATTGCAAGCAGCCAGCATGGATTTACTATGAACGAATCGAATCATGTCAAACAAACCCAATTTCCTTCTGTGACAAGAAAAATAGTTGGGTGAATGAAGGGGATGCTGTGCATATAGTGTATCTGGAGTTTAGCAAGGATTTTGACCAACTCCCAAATCCTCTGTATAAAATACCACACATTCAAATTAAAGTGCAAAGCAAACAAGCTTCAAAGATAATTCTACATTTTACAAATAGCATATTTGTGGCTGGATGCCCATTTGTCTGGCTGGTTATTAGGATAAATTGCTTGAACGTATGGCATGTTACAATGTACTCATCCATTAACACATTAATCACACTTCAAATGTAACACCTGCCAGGGGCCTAAAACTTCCTACATGGAAGTAATTGATACTCATTTCAAAATAATCATTTCTATAGCCTTGATAAGTTATGACATACATTTTCTTAAGTAGGGCAACCTTCACAAAACATTTTTGAAAAGGCCAAAAAGCCAGTGGTCAAAACCTCAAGACAGTCTGAATCAGCCAAAACCAGCAGTTAAAACCACAGGGCACCTATACATGTGACAGAGCTCTGCTCCAAAGCATGCTAATTAACATACATTGGAGCAGACTCAATTAATCAAATCTGTTGCAAGAATGAACCATGCTAATTAGTGCGCTCCATGGCCTCTGTGTCATGTGTATTCAGCATCCCCACGTTTCAAAGTGGCACCAGGGCATTTTAACTAAAACTTGTTAAACAAGCTTTTGTTAAAGCGCCCCTGCTGCCGTTTTGAAGCGCAGAATGCTGAATACACATGACACTGCGGGCGCTTTAATTAGACAACCTCTCAGAACCACTCCGATTAAAGCGCACCCCCCTCCCCCTCCCCAGAGCACATGTACAGATTCCCATGGTGATCAGAACTATCCAATCCTAATTTATAATGGCAGCCATGGATTAGGTCCAAGATTAATAACTGACCAGAGGTGGATACAATAGTGCCTGTCTGTGAAAATATTTACATTATGGCCCTTAGTAAATAATTGTACAAATTAATAATCCAACTCTGAATTCATAATTTTATATAAATTAAGGTAGGAATACAGAAGAAAATAGGACTTTACATATTAACAAAAACAAAATACTTTACCACTATTTGTAAGCCAACACACCTTAAGGATGCCATAAATAATATTTTGCATTCATTTACTTGTACCCTTCATTTACAAACCTCAAAAGCAGTTTACAAAAAAAAATTATCAGAATCAATACTACAGTTACCTATTTTATAGATGGGCTCAGTGGCAAGAGTCAGGGATAGCCCACAGGAGCCCTGACTGGTCTTTATGACCAACATAAACATTTGCTCTCTGGTGATGACATTCATACTTCGCTATTTTGAGATGATAAAATATCTGTCACAATTTATAAAATTTGGCATAATTTTAGCAAGGACATATCCACTGGTATCAAACAATGTTAAAAAACACTGTCTCCGTACCACACTATTTCATAAATATAAAAAATAATTTAATTGGGCTCAGGAAAATTTAAGCTCTATATATGAGGCCAACTTTCATATCAGAGAATCTAATCATTGTCTATAAAATAAATCATGAGGTCATAGGTAAAATGTCAAAAGCTATATAGAAAAGCTGCAATTTTAATTTCCTGTGTTTAATTAAATATTTTTCAGCCAACTTCCCATAGGTAAGATGCCGTTTATATGGAAGTTCCCCTGTAAAGGGGTAACTGTAATCAGAATCTTGACCATTTCAATTCACTGTCACTTTACAGTTTAAATTTGTATCGCTTTACAGTTTAATGTTGTATAGCATTTTACCCTAATTTCTAATTTTTCAGTGGCATCCCACATGTCTACCTGGCAGAAACAGAAAACAACACTTTGAACTAGACCCAAGTGCAAGATGTTTGTAAAAAAGGATTCTTAAAGTTAATCTCAAGAGTTCTGGATTAGCAAAACAGCACTGACTACACTGCTGGAATGGTTAAATTCTTTGCCTACATTATCTATTTAAACTGTAAGCTATTTGCAGTAAGGGACAGGGTTGTCTTATTATATGCTAGTACAAACCTTACTGTTACAGAGCTCCAACACTTTATAAAGAAATTAATATTAATACTAACATTATACAATAATGATGCAAAGAAAAAAGCCTACTAAAGTCCTGATTAAATAAGTGTAGAACTTTGCTGCTGCTTTCACTAAACCACCATATCTCAAAATCTAGGGATGGAGATCTAGAATCTAGGGATGGAGATCTAGAGCAGGACGGCAATGAAGATATTTTTCATGAAAATATTTAGCAAAGTATTATCCAACACAAAATCAGCAAGCATGATTTTAAACAACTTAGTTCTATTAAAAAACAAGTTTCACCACACTGCTGAATTACCAAGCAATAGTTCAAAGCTTAAAAAGAGATATAGTGAAACCCGTTTAAAACTGAATTGCATGGAACCAGGAAAAATTTCTGGCTTTGACAGCTTTTGATATTATAGAGGACCAGACCCTCTGTTGGGGCTGCCAGTTCCTGGGTCCCTGTCAGTCTTTATGTCCATAGATTTTTAAAAAAAATGTTATTCTCTCCCCTAATACAGCATGAGACCCCTAGCACTGCAGAGAAACTGACAATTTCATATAATCAGTTTCATAATTATGCTAAGTGCTGTCAAGTGTACAAAACAAGCAAGCAGGAGAAATATTTTTTTTCTTCTCAGTCTTTCAATGACATCCAAACAGATGTTGTAAACATCATCAGATAAAATGTATTTTCAAAAAGAATGTGAATCTTAAGAGAATGGTTCCCTTTCACCACATGTCAATGCAGTTTCTTACCTCAGTTATTTTTGTATTATCTCCTGTATCAGTCATCTTTACTGGAGTGGAGCGCTGAGAAACAGCACCTTCATCTTCCTTGTCAGTTCCAGAATCATCCTCTGAACTGCTAGACACTGCTTCCTCACTTGGTGGTGGGGGGGCACTAGCAGCTGTCTTGCGTTGCAACACAGTTTCTTCTCTGTTACTTTTGTTTCTGTTAAAAACAAGAAGAAAACATACATTCACAAACAGATGAACATAAAGTATTTTCAACTGTACCATATCTGCATTCCCAAATTTTGATTGCCATCTCATTTGGGGGAAGCTCAGAAGCCTCTGGATGTGGACACACATAACAACTGATCTGTTCTAAAATCTCACTAATTGAGAAGTGATTCACAACTGTGTGAAGTGCTGTGGCTCTGATACCAGGAAGTAGTAGTGAGCACCCAGCCTAGCATGCCTTGCAATGAGTGAGTTGGTGGGGAAGAGTGAGTGCTTGTACCCATGATCACTGATCTGTGGCTTGGGGCATTGTCACTTTTTTCTGCTTTCCCTTGTTTCCTAAACGTGAGTTCAATGGCCTGCAAAAGACCAAAGTCTGTGGTATGCTTGCCTGACTTGGCAGGGAGGGGAGGAGGTTCTTAGACCCACACTTATTGCTTCTCAGGGGTTGGGGAAGCATGATGAGAAGAGTGCAGTCAAATAAGGAGTGAGGACAGAGGTGGTTGTTAGAAAGATAGCTTTTACTGAGCAAGCAGTACAAGGGAGATGGTTGATAAAGAGTGCCAACAAAAAATGGGGGCAGTACGTTCTGGTCACGTATCAGAACAGACCATTGCAGCAATGTTGGGGAGGGATGAAAACCAATGCAGCCTTGGACACCTGGAAGACTGACCAGACCCATGTCACAGAATGCTTGGTGTCCACATATAACACTGAACTGGCTTACAGTGAACAGGTTCAAAATAGTACTAGATTTTCCAGGCATCTTTTTGAGCCATTCCAGGCCAGTTTAACAGGCTTGTATGTCTGTCTGATTCAGGTTTAAACCAAATTTAAACCATTCTACATTATGTGTGTCCACGCACTCTACGTTACCTTTGGAGCGGAGCAGACAGGTTCTGCCTATCCTTTGAATCCCCTATATCAATTTCCCCTGGGTACTTGGTATTTCTAAAACTCTTCTTCAACTACTGAGTGTCTGAAGAAAGCTCTATGATTACATAAGACTTCCTCTATTGAGTTCATTTTTGTTATTTTTTCATTTTCATTCTAAACACTTAGAATGACACATTTCTTGATAGATACTTTCATAACCAACTCACTGTGGATGGGCATATGTCTGAGATAGTTTAGGAATTGTTACTTATCTGCTCTGTGTTCTTGAGGGAACCCTGGCACCCAGCTTGCTGGACTTAAAAAGGACTTTTTCTTCTCCCCCTCCCCCACACACACACACCTCACCTAACCAGAAATAAGCAGAAGAAAACTTTAATAGGCATCTCAGGCCGTACATTTCCCGGTCCCAGTATGGGAGGCCTATTTAAACTTAATTGACTAAAACTCGGTTGCCGGGTTAGGGAATGCTGAGGCAAGAGACCAAGTCAGAGGAGGTATAAACGATATTTGAACAGTGGTTAAGGGTTCATCACAACATCCAGCCTGTTGGAGCCCTGACCACAAACACTGTCATACTTTTCCTGGGATGACTGGTGGAAGTCCTCCCCACAAAGTTTATGAACACTCCAAGTAATCCCCTTAAGTATGTTCCATGTGCCTTTGGGATTTCCTGTTTTAGCAAACAGACTAAATCAAGGCACCAGTAAAAGACTACAGTAAGATCTGAAAGTCATGCTAAGCTGAGGCTTATTCACAACAGGTAAAATACAAAACATTGATGCTGACTTCACAGTGCAAGCACAGCTAGGCCATCTGAGAAGAAATAATACGGTATCCCTTCCAGTTCATCTTCTATATCCATAATAATTTCAAGCCGGCTACTAGGTGTCTGGTTACTCCTTAAAACCTTATGTTTTTCCTGGTTGTTAATCAGGTTCCAAACCAGATAACCCCTTGTCACAGAAAAAGGTAATTCATTTAAATTGAAACTGTTTACATAACAGGATTTTCCCTGTCAATTACGGTTTGGAACTATCTTGATTTACACAGTTAAAAGTATGCTTTGAAGAGGCTGGACTAAGGGTGTAAGAAAGCTGTAAAGCAACAAACAGTATGCTTCAAGAGGGAAAAATCTCTCTGATACCATCCACTGTTGCTCTCTTTTCGTCACCTGTTTAACCTTCAACGATCAGACTAGGAACTTGCCTGTCAACAAAACACAGTGCCTTGGAATGGTGAGATCCCAGCTCTCTCTCTCTTCCTCTCTCTCTTTTTCTCTCTAGGAATAGCTTTCTGAACCTGAATTTTATTAGTTAAGCTTGAACTAGGTTTCCCCAAATACTCAATTGAACCAGGGTAATATTGTAATTGTTTTTGTTTGTTTTGCCTTGCATGACTATTATTACTAGAACCATCATACATTTCATATACTTAGCAAGAAATAATTTTTATAGTCAAGCTGGTGGTAACTGGGTGTATTTTTCCTTCTCTACTTCCCTTCCCCCACTTGCTCTGCAGCAATGCTTCTTTTACCTAAGCCAAAGATCCCTGTAAAGCCCCAAAATACTGTGGAGTTCGCTCATCAAGAGGCTACCACTACTAGGACAGTTCAGGCAAAAGATTGGGACATGGTGAGTTTGAGAACATAAGAGGATCAGCTTGTATAGGCTGACTGACCCAGTTTGGCTCAGACGTGCCCTAATGAACCGAATGCTGGCCCATGAGGGTGTCAGTTGGACACCCTGCCTGATTCAGAGGTATTCTGTTCACCTGCGTGCTTGTGTTTGACTGCATTTTATTGTTGCCCTGATGAACTGATTCCTGGCATATGAGGGTGTCAGCCTGTACGTACTGATCAACCGGGCCGGGTCAGGTGTGTCACATTAGTGTGCGTGTGCATTTGACTGATTTGGTCGCTGGAGAAACCCAGCCCCACTAAAACTTGAGTCCTGCAAGATAGCTCCATTGGGGGTGAGGACTTGCAGAAGGGAGAGATACAGCTCCATATAGAAACACAAGCAATAGAAGCAGCACATTGATAGAATTACAGAGACCCCAGAAAGGTACCCCTAATAAATGAGTGCACCACAAAGTGACAGGCAAATCTGATAACAGAATAGCAAATCCTGTCATCAAAATTACAGGAGTCTGGATTGGATAACCTTAAGGTTCCTTCCAAACCTGTGATTTTAATTTCTTATCTTTGGCTTTCTTAGGTCCTCATTCCAGATCTTGCCAGCAAAAAGCTAGCAGTTATTAAGCAAGTAATTCATTCACTGTCCCCAACACTGCTTGGTCTCTAAACTGGAGAGCTCCTTTCAGGAGATACAACCTTATAACTTCAACTCTGTGTATCAATTTCTTTTAGGTATTCTCTCATACTCTCATCCAGCTTCTTCACAACTGAACTGATGATCTTGTTTGTTCTATTCCCTCTTCCTAACCTTCTGTGTTCAACACAATTAACTCTTCACTCCATTTCCTGTATCCAGACCCACAGCCCGGTCTCATCTTTGGACTTCTTCTCCCTGGCCTCTTGTATATTCTTGTATCTTATAATTTAAGTGTATATGTAGCTTCTTTATTCAGGTCATTGCTCATTTAGAGCTCTCTCTCTCATACCTTTTTACAGTTAATTGCATTTATATGCTGTTTGATGATGATATACCAGAACAAATGTTTTGAATTCTATATTTTAAGGCCAGTCTTACCCCAGCACTGATTTTCCAGTTTCATCAGGTTTACGCACGGTAAATGGACTTGGATCAATGCCAACATTCTTGGGCATGAAGTCTCTGGAGGAAGAAAGAAAAAATAAAGAGCTCAATATTTGAAATATGCATTTGAAATTATATTCTGTCAGGTTTTGTTAGAAGTTCTTTATACCAAGAAGTCTACATACTCTACAAATGCTATTTTCCAACATCTGCTTTTGAATTTAAACAAGGCAAAAGGTGTTAGGGAAGTGTAAGAATGAAAAGGAGAAGGGAAAACATGGATTTGGAGTGCCTCCTAAGGCTCAAAACTGCTAGGGTATTTAAGAACTGTCTCTAGACAGGTGGTTGAAAGGAACTGAGGAGCAGGAAGTATATACTGTTGCCAATATTAGCCCTTTTGTAAGGCTTCAGCTTACAGCTGCAGAAATGTAACTAAAGCAGATATCTCAGTCCTGTTCCTGAGCAACCACAAAGTAAAGCTCTGCAAATATTATAATTAGGGTGATTGGCAAAGTCAAAAAGCAATCAACATGTTCAAGCAAAGCAGTACTGAGATCAAATTAAACAAAGGAAAAGGTTTGCAGGAACCATCATACAAGAAAGCTATTAGATAAATAATTCAAACATGGTACATGAGGGCTCTCCAACTGGCAGCCTATGGGCCACATCCAGCCCTCAAGAGGTTAAACTGTGGCCCCTGGACTCCTGGTTGCTCTCCTGATGCTGTCGCCAGAGTCTCTGAACTCCCCCTCCCTTTGCTGCCCGCCCCCACCCTGGCGGTGGTCATGCTGCCCC